TATTCCAAGTATAGTACAATGACCATGAAAGCAGGAAAAAAACATTTTATGTTCTTGAATTTGATTGCATATACACAGCTTCCATCTAGTACCTCTCTGGTTCTCAGGTTCATTTCAATGTCATTTTCTTTTTTTTTTTTTTTTCATATATGAAATTTATTGTCAAATTGGTTTCCATACAACACCCAGTGCTCATCCCAAAAGGTGCCCTCCTCAATACCCATCACCCACCCTCCCCTCCCTCCCACCCCCCATCAACCCTCAGTTTGTTCTCAGTTTTTAACAGTCTCTTATGCTTTGGCTCTCTCCCACTCTAACCTCTTTTTTTTTTTTTTTTCTTTTTTCCTCCCCCTCCCCCATGGGTTCCTGTTAAGTTTCTCAGGATCCACATAAGAGTGAAACCATATGGTATCTGTCTTTCTCTGTATGGCTTATTTCACTTAGCATAACACTCTCCAGTTCCATCCACGTTGCTACAAAAGGTCATATTTCATTTTTTCTCATTGCCACTTAGTACTCCATTGTGTATATAAACCACAATTTCTTTATCCATTCATCAGTTGATGGACATTTAGGCTCTTTCCATAATTTGGCTATTGTTGAGAGTGCTGCTATGAACATTGGGGTACAAGTGCCCCTCTGCATCGGTACTCCTGTATCCCTTGGATAAATTCCTAGCAGTGCTATTGCTGGGTCATAGGGTAGGTCTATTTTTAATTTTCTGAGGAACCTCCACACTGCTTTCCAGAGCGGCTGTACCAGTTTGCATTCCCACCAACAGTGCAAGAGGGTTCCCGTTTCTCCACATCCTCTCCAGCATCTATAGTCTCCTGATTTGTTCATTTTGGCCACTTTGACTGGCGTGAGGTGATATCTGAGTGTGGTTTTGATTTGTATTTCCCTGATAAGGAGCGACGCTGAACATCTTTTCATGTGCCTGTTGGCCATCCGGATGTCTTCTTTAGAGAAGTGTCTGTTCATGTTTTCTGCCCATTTCTTCACTGGGTTATTTGTTTTTCGGGTGTGGAGTTTGGTGAGCTCTGTATAGATTTTGGATACTAGCCCTTTGTCCGATATGTCATTTGCGAATATCTTTTCCCATTCCGTTGGTTGCCTTTTAGTTTTGTTGGTTGTTTCCTTTGCTGTGCAGAAGCTTTTTATCTTCATAAGGTCCCCGTAATTCACTTTTGCTTTTAATTCCCTTGCCTTTGGGGATGCGTCGAGTAAGAGATTGCTACGGCTGAGGTCAGAGAGGTCTTTTCCTGCTTTCTCCTCTAGGGTTTTGATGGTTTCCTGTCTCACATTCAGGTCCTTTATCCATTTTGAGTTTATTTTTGTGAGTGGTGTGAGAAAGTGGTCTAGTTTCAATCTTCTGCATGTTGCTGTCCAGTTCTCCCAGCACCATTTGTTAAAGAGGCTGTCTTTTTTCCATTGGATGTTCTTTCCTGCTTTGTCAAAGATGAGTTGGCCATACATTTGTGGGTCTAGTTCTGGGGTTTCTATTCTATTCCATTGGTCTATGTGTCTGTTTTTGTGCCATCAATGTCATTTTCAAGGTGCCTGCCAAAATTATAGTCATTCCAATCCAAGTTAATATACATTTAGGAAGTAAGTTGGTTCATTTTGATTTAAACACAGGACTTCAATATCCATGTTTACACGACTCAACACTTCTAGTATAGCTATTGGAGAGTTAGGCTACTGCACGTTATTTAATATATTTATTAATTCATTTATCAAGTATTTACTGAACACCTCTCATACATGAAGGTGGTCAAAGGTACAAACTTCCAGGTATAATATAAAATAAGCAAGTCTTGGGTTGTAATGTACAGCCTGGTGATGGCAATTAATTAATAACATGTATACTTGAAAGTTTCTCTGGTGCCTGAGTAGCACAGTCGGTTAAGCGTCCGACTCTTGATTTCGGTTCAGGTCCTGATCTCATGGGTTCCTGAGTTCAAGCCCCACATCGGCTCCAGGCTGATAGTGTGGGACATGCTTAGAATTCTCTCTCTCCCTCTCTCTCTCTGCTCCTCCCTGCTTGTGCTCTCTCTCTCTGTCTCTCTCAAAAATAAATAAATACACTTAAAAAAAAGTTTCTAAGAGAGTGGATCTCAGAAGTTCTCACTGTAAGAAAAAAAAAATGTCATTACGTGTGTCATTATGTGTGGGACAGATGTTAACTAGACTTCTTGTGGTGATCATTTGGCAAAATATACATACCTGTCAAATCATTACGTTGTGCATCTGAAACTAATATAATGTTATATGTCAATTATATCTCAAAATAAAGAAATATATTCATTAATTAATAGGGTCATACGTCACGTTCTATGAAGAAATGTAAAGCAGGGTGTGGGGCAGAGTCGGGGGAGGGCTCTTAGATTGGCCAGCGCATCAGTCAGCGGGGCCTGCTGTAACAAAGTATCACAGACTAGGGGGCTTAAACCACACAAATGTACTTTCTCATAGTTCTAGAGGTTGGAAGTCCAAGATCAAGGTATAGGCAGGTTTGGTTTCTTCTGAAGCCTCCCTTTGGAGGACAGATGGCCGTCTCCTTGCTCTGTGTTCACTTGGTTTCCTCCCTGCACGTGCGTGTCTGGTGTCTCGGTCTGTGCCAATCTCCTGTTCTTCTAAGGACACTGGTCATGTTGGATTAGTGTCACCCTTACAAACCCATGTTAACGTCATCACATTTTTAAAGGCGTTGTCACCAAATAAAGTCACATGCTGAGATATTGAGAGAGAGAGAGCTTCAACACATGAGTTTTGGGAGGACACAACTCAGCCCAGAGCAGGGGCCTCAGGGAAGACCTCTCTGAGAAGAGGAGACATCTGAACAGAGACCTGAATGAGGAACAAGTCATAGCTGTTGGGTGAGCCTTCCTGGGGGGACAGCGCCCCTGGCAGGGGGGACAGTGAGTGCACAGGTTCGAGGCTGGAATGTCAAGGCAGGGATGATGGCCAGAGCTCAGTGAGGGAGCGCAAGTTTGTCACAGGTTCAGGCAGAGGCCAGCTCATGAGGAACCTTGGAGGCGAGGCGAGAACTTAATTTTTTTCTTTTCTTCTCACTGTCATAGGAAGTCATGGGAGCATTTTGAGCAAGTCGGAGGCATAATCTCACATATGTTTTTAAAGGATTATTTTAAAATTCACAACAGATTTTCTGTAGACTCCCAAGAATTCAGTGGGAAAGATTATACTAATCATGAAACCCAGCAAAGTTCTCAGAATAGTTAAGATGCAGACCCCAGAGGTTACTCTCCACTGATTTTTTTTTTTTTTTTTTTTTTTTTAGCAATTCCTTCTCTCAAGGGTTAAGGTATCAGCTAAGAATTGTTTGGAATACTGGATTACTGCCAAGACTTCTACTGCTACATTCACTGATGCTGAATTTATAACAAGGGAAATATCTGGCTCGATTTGTATATATGAAAGAATACTCTTTTCTTGAAGAAAAACGTGGGTTAAGATGATCTGGTCTGTATTTATTCATAAGGAGTGATGTTAAATTGATATCACTTGGGACAGCTCGAGTCAGGGGAAACTCTGAGGTGTCCCTTCTCTGTTTGACAAAGGTACAAGAGAGCGAATAGCAATTACTTTGGAAGTTTTGAGCAACTTGTTGCCCCAAAATAAGGGATGTCCACAAAGCACTTCCTATGCACCATACATACGCAGACCTTCTCCTGAATTAATCAGACTGGGCATTCTCAAGCCCCACGTACAGGGGCCAGGACACTGGATTATACTACAAACCATCAAGGTATTTCTTAAGGTGCTTAAAATGGCCACATCCATTTTTAGAGCGCATTTATGTTGTACTCAGATGCAAGCCCAATACTCAGTAGAAAACATATCCATTGAATAGATTAGTAGCCATTTTCATGGGAACTTGTAAACACCAAGCATCAATCTTCACTCTATCTCCGCTGAACTTTGTGACTGAGGGCTGCCTTCCAGGATCCGTAAAAAGTTTCCTCATGTATAAAGATATCACACACACACACACACACACACACACACACACAGAAACTTCCTACTGAAAGAACCTAATTAGAGTTAGTAAAATTTTAGCTGAGGTCAGTTACATTTCAAAAATAACACTCGATCACTTTTTCAGTCTTTCTTCTCTTTGAAACTCAGTATCTGTTTTATGAAGGGGGGCATGGTAAGTATGACCTAAGCATGAACAAAGGTAACCTGTCAATGCCGTGAAAATCATTAGAGATCATTGGAAACAACTTTAATACGAATATGAAACCTTCCCTCACCGCCTTCCGCCCCCAGGGACAGAAAACGGACTAACCTGTTCTGGCCAAATAATGAGAATCATATATGTGTGAATAAAGTCCTTAGTCCTTGGATTCCTGTATCTAAAGTGTGTTTGAACATTCCCCTAAAGACTGTCTTCAGACACCCGAAGAAACCAAATGCACAAAGGACCACAATACCTTTTCCACGGTCTTGGTACCAAAGGATAGAACGCAGAGCATAAGCCAGCAGGCTTCGGTCAAGTTCTCAGTCAAGGATTCGGAGGCGATCCTCGGTGGCTGACTTAGAAGGACGGTTGCAGCAGTAATGTTGCTTCATTTGCTTTAATAAGCAGAGTTCGAGATTATTTATGATAACACAATCAGTGGAATGTGTCCCGTGCATTCCGAAAACGCGAAGCCTCACTTTTGAGTCTGGCTATTAAGTCCTTGCTGTGAAAGGGTGGCAAGTGTTATTAAACTGTTAGATTAGCAAGGTTCTACTGCATTTTCACTTTAAGCCAGAGTGCTTTCACAGCTGAGCTATAATGCTCTGAAAATGCCTACATAACAAGATCCAGACCTGGAGCTGAATCCCAAATGGTAGACGGCCAACGGCATTTATACACTATTACCTTGCTGAAGCCATAAAAAGTCAGCGCGTCTGAAAAGACACTGCGCCTAAATCCAAAGACATAGAGGAAGCCAACGCAGGAAATAGGGGCTCTTTCCATAATAACATACCTTTACAGGGCGGGAAGTCACTTCCATTTTCTAGAGAATACCAGCATGAACTCCAATCCCTTCTTAAGAAGGCAAGTAGAAAGAATGAGCCTAAATTATCCTATTGATGACTAAATGTTACATTTAGCTCCCTGGCGTCCATGGAACAGAATTTCAAGGAATCGCATGTAGCCTGCTGGCCAAGTGGACTTCTCGCATACTTGAGTAAACACGAGGTTTCCTAATAAGCTGCCTTTCTGAGAAATCTAAAGTATTAAGTGCTTAAGTTCCCGAAAACTTGAATTTATCAGGCAGGAAAAGGCATCCAATTATAAAACAATAGGGCTAGAAAGAAAACCCAAATGCACCTTACGGCAGATAGCTAAAGGAGTTTGAGAAATCACATTTCAGAAAACTACATCACAGTTGCCAGTTCAGGCTCTACTTTGCTAAGGTGCCCGGATCCACGAATAGGTTGAGTCTTGCACAAGCCCCATTTGCCTGGCTTGATTCAAAGTAGTCCGTGACTTCCAGTCCTCGCGTGATTACTGCGGTTGACAGGCGTGACCCTGGCCGCTGGCTGGGAAACAAAGAACAACGAGACCTGGCCTTGGGCTTAGGGCGTCGGAAGTGAATGTGTGCACTTGCAGCAAAGGTGAGAAATGGTGGTGGGATTTTAGGGGTAGGTTTAACTATAAAGTTAGGAAGAGTTTAGGGACTTGTGACCTAGGACAGAAAACTAATTTTTTCCCTTTGCTTCATTACTTGAGATAGCTTCTCAGGAGAGTTTAGGGCAGGGCCAGTGTGGCAGCCGCGTTCCTGAGTCACATTATCAAGAATGTGGCGTCTAAAAAGATGAATGAGGGACGCCTGGGTGGCTCCGTCGGTTAAGGGCCCGACTCTTGATTTCGGCTCAGGTCATGATCTCATGGTTCGTGGGATTGTGCCCCACGTCAGGCTCTGTGTTGAGCGCGGAGGCTGCTTGGGGTTCTCTCTCTCTCCCTCTCTCTCTGCCTCACCCCCTTCTCTCTCTCTCTCTCAAAATAAATAAATAAACTTTTTAACAAAATAAAAAGAGGAATGAAATCTATCAGTAACTGCCTGGGCGGCATCCAAAGTGACTTAGGGGGAAGCTACTCCTGTTTCCTAGGCGGATGAATGGTGACATTTCATTGGCTATCTTTGCGAACTTTTGAGATGCTAAAATGAAATGAAACCTTTGCCCATGACCCGAAGCCACAGTCATTGTTTGGATAATATGTACAAGCTCCAAGAATTCTTTGGATGCTAATGGTTCCGTTATTTCACAAACTGACATTTTAGTACATTGATGTCCTTGAGTGTATTGCCTAGAAATGTTTTAAAATGAGGAAAGCCTGAAAAAAATAGAATGAATGTCGTATCGTAAAGAGAATAAATAAAAATAAGTTTCTGGCTGGGTATCTGTTATCACATCACCAAGGAATGACTGGGTAGATTTTTCACTGTATTGGGCGACTTGTATAACTAATTTTAATGAGGGCTCCCTGACTTGCACAGGGTTTGCCTGGCAGTTAGGTCCTTGAGGGCTACCTCAGAGTGAATGACAATCGTCCCTCAAAAAAAGTGGAAGCTGGTAGAGTGTGTAGGCAGGGGCCATGACTGCCAATGGCCAATGGAGAGACGCACCATAGGTATTACCTTACGTCAGTTCGCCCAGAAATGAACTTGGAGAGGCGTATTCATGTGCGAGGAGCTGTTCCCTGGGGCAAATCAGTGTGGGGGGGTAGGGAAAGGTGGGAAGGACAGACAGGCAGGACAGAGAACAAGAAGAAGCCAAGCCAGGAGCCATTCAGACCAAGTCCCCGCCTTGGCCTGCCCCTGGGAGAGTCGTGGAATACAAGTTATGCCTCAGACCTTGTCCTCACTCTGGGCCAAGAACTGGACTTTCACGGTGGGCACCAGTCAGTCATTGATCAAGGCGCCCCCCCCCCCACGCCGCCCAAGGAAAGTGTAAGTTTCCGGGCACTTCTGAGTGGAGTCTTCTGAAGGGTCCCTCACGGGTGCCAGCTGCTGGAAGCAAACATATAAGCCAGGAACAGGGCATCTAAGAATGGAAAAAGGATTTTGAGGGGGGCAGGTGGAGCCCCAGCGCTGCTCACCACATGTACTAAAGCCTGTGGACGGGAGAAGAAATCGATGTTTCAGAGATGAGCCCAAGGGTCTAAGGGAGACACCAAATTGCAGAAGCCGGTTTACAATTGAGCTGCTTCTCACCAGGGCAGCTCTGTTTCCAAACCATGGCTGGCAATTCCCCTGAGCGATGCTTGGAGGCCAGCGCCTCTAGGATCTGTGTCTGCTGAACTTGTCCGTCTTGGGTGGGGACGGGGGCGCTGTGTGTGGGACTGCTCCAAAGACTTTGAAGACCCGTCTGACCTGAAGCAGCTAGCAAGCTTCTTTCTTACTCCACCCGTGTCTGGCGGAACCCCCTTTCCCTTTGAGGACTGGAGGCACGGAGACGATTCTCATCAAAAAGACCACATGATCAAGGGGGTAGGTTCGGTGATGCAAAAACAGTCAAGGTGTCACAAAGACGGTGGCTGACTAGGACTAGACGAGCCGTGGAAGGCTTTTCGGAGGTGACGAAATGTCCTTCTGGCCTTGAACGCCAGCAAAACTCAGGTGGCAGAGAGAAGGCAGGGCGGCCCAGCAGAGGGGGACACACTGGGCAAAGGCACAGACGTGCCCCCGACGTGCACTCTTACGGGGCAAGTTGCAGATGGGCTTAGCTGAGGTCAAGAGTCAAAGGCCAGAAGGCTGACTGTTGGTAGCGCCCTGGGTCTGAAAACTGGGTCACGGTCTGAAGCCGTCTCCCCGTTCGTTCGCTTCAGCTTCTTTCTGATTCTCTGCCCAAGTCCCCGCTCAGACTTGCTTTCCATCAAGCTGTGTCGAGCACCGGACCATCCTCCTAATTAATACGTGCCAGGTTCCGCGAGCTGACAAGCTTTCAATACAAAGAAACAAACGATACGAGCCAGGACAAAAAAACAGAACAAAATAAAGACGGCAGGGGGTGTTTTGAGTGAACAGCATCACAGAACAGGCAAATTTCAGAGACTTTTTGGAACAGGGGAAACCTGATGTGTTAATTAGGAGTCTATTTCAGTAATAAGACTGCTCAGAGGAAGGCGATGAAAGAAATAGAAGGGGCCGCAGAGGGAACCGCTCGGGCAGAAAGGGAGTGACGGTGTAAGAGGGGAGGCAGCTCATTATTCTCTGTTGTCTTCCGTGCGTCTGTGGTCTGTTGGCTTCGAAGACAGAGGACTTAGCCTTTTGTGTTTTGTAAAGCACCTCAAATAAAGAGCTTCGGGTATAAATAGCAATGTGGTTTCTGCCCCCAGGACCCAATTCAACAGGAAGTATTGGAGCCCTCCCAGCTCCAGCTGGTGGTGGATTTGGGCTTTTCAGAGCACATTCTACTCAGAGGAACTGTTTGCTGCTGAGATGGGCCAATAGGAAGGTTCAAAACCACAGGAAGGGCGGCAGAGGAACACCGTGCCAGGGCGCCCCTGATGAGGAAAGGGGGCTTGTGGAGCCAGAAGCCTTCATCCAGCCTCAGTCGGCCTGCCTTCTGGGATTTGAGCCCCAGCCCAGCCGTCGGACCGACGTGGTCCTAACCTCGGCTCTGCACTTGCTGGCTCCGTGGTCAGGTCTTCCAGCTGATGCTTCTGAGCCGAGAAAAGACAGTCTATCTTCCCTGCTGCTGCCAGACCGATTTTCCAAAAGCGCAGCTTCGAACGTATCTTTCCGCTGTTCATAACTGGCAGTGGCTCCCAACTGCTTCGTAGAGTCCCTGTGCGGCTGGTTTTGGGGACGGAGTGAGTTACACTTCCTAGACCGCACTCTCTTCTTCTGTCACTGCGTTGTTGGGCTGCTGTAAAAACTAAAGAAGGTGATCCATATAAAGCACTTGGGGCATAATAAGTGCTCAACTAATAATACTTTTCATTGTTGGTCAGGGGATTGCTTGATGCAAAACCCAGCTCTCCGATCCCCCAGAGAGATGGTGTTGGGCCGATTTCTTAATTTCTCTAGGCCTCAGCTCTGATCTTCAGAGAGTTGGATGTGTTGATGCATCTACAGCATCTTGACCAGTACTTAGTGCTCAGTAAATTTTAGTTTTATATTATGATATCACTATCACAGCATCAGCATCACCCTCATCATTTAGATCTGGGAGGGAAAAAAAAGTGCATTGGGAATATGCTTATTGAAAAGAATCTCTGAGCGGTGCCGGGTTGGCTCGGTCAGTTGGGCATCAGACTTCAGCTCAGGTCACCATCTCACAGTTTGTGGGTTCAAGCCCCGCATCGGGCTCTGGGCTGACCACTCAAAGCCTGGAGCCTGCTTTGAATTCTGTGTCTCCCTCTGTCTCTCTGCCCCTCCCTTGCTTGCACTCTCTCTCTCTCTCTGTCTCTCTCTCTCTGTCTCTCTCTCTCTCTCTCTGTCTCTCTCTCTCTCTTTCTCCAAAATAAACATTAAAAAAAAGAGTCCCCGAAGTTGCTCTGAGAGTCAAGGAGAGGAAAAGGGGACTGGGCTCTCTTTGCCCTCCTCTCCACAGAGATTTCTGACAAACCCCTAGGTGGCTGGGACATTTATGACCAGGGAGGGAGAGAGAGAGAGAGAGTTGGATTGATTTTGAGGAATTGGCTCACATGATTGCAAAGGCTGGCAAGTCCAAAATCTGCAGGGTAGGCCAACAGGCTAGAGACCCAGAGAAGAGTTGCAGCTCAAGTCTGAAGGCCAAGTCTGCTGGCAGGATTCCCTCTTCCTCTGGAGAGGCCAGTTTTCTATTATGGCCTTTAACTCACAATGTCGGGAGGGTTATCTGCTTTATTCAAAGTATACTCATTAAAATTTTAATCTTATCTTTAAAATGTCTTCAAAAAAGCATCTAGAATAATGTTTCACAGAATAGCTGGGTACCATGACCAAAGCAAATGGACACATGAAATTGACTACCACACTTCCTCAAATGGTTTTTGGGCCATCGACTTCCCAAATGGGCCCTAGCGGGGAGCACGAGCAGAGTTGCTGCGGGAGGACTATGACGCACCCCCAGCAAAGCACAAAACCTCAGGTCCCTGTGTTGGGGGCTTCCTAAAATTACCAGCATGAGGACGTTGAATTCCCAGGATAGCAGCTGGGAAACTTCCATCAAGGAGAGTTGGGTCTTTATATTAAAATAACTCTGCGTCCACAACCTGGGTAGGCCTGGGGACATTTAGGTTACAGTTTCTTCTTAACTAGGTAGATCCTGAAGACTTATCTAGCCATCTCTCTATCCAGTGGCCAGCATATGCTGGGACAGCGTGCCAGTATTCAATAATTGCTCAATGAATAAGTCTTTACAAATGTGTATCTGGTAGAGGCATACATAAGTGGCTTATTCATTAGTAGTTAAACTGGAAAGAGACACTTGACTCATGTTAGTCCAGTGGTCCATGCACAAGACCTTGACAGCAGCCCCCCGCGGTAAGGGAAGGAGCCCCACGTGGGGTCTCAGCTCCACATCTGTCCATGGGACCTTGGGAGAGCCTGCCACCCTCTGCAGGGCTCTCTTTCTTGATCTGTAAAATTAGGACGTTAGACGAGAGGATGGGTGGGGTTTTTTTAGCGCTCACATCTACAATTCAATAAGATCACCCACATGGTGGCCAAACACCAGGACATTGTGCATGGAATTCATAGTGGTAAAAAGAGATCAGGGAGAGACACCAACGGACTCCTGTTCCGCCTTCTCTACTTGGTTTCAGTGCAGTTGCCTCTGGGAAAGAGAAGACCAGGTGGATGACTCTTTGCCATCATGAGATCTCATTATCTTTTAATAAACTGTTAGTTCTAATGTTTAAAGA